CAAAAAGAATAGCTTCTCATCATATTGCAGCAGGTACATTGGGCATCTTAGCGGGTTTATTCCATCTTAACGGTCGAGCTAGCTTCGGTTGATCCTTCGGCAAGGGAAAAACTTTTGTTTAACATTTCCAGAAAGACCACCTATTTGATGCAGCCGCACATCCGTTTTCTTGGTTGGCAGCCGAAAAAAAACCATCGCTACTTGATAGCCCGATTGAGGGTCAATTACATTGAGAAGGCTAGTAGTTGGTCTTGACCTTGACGGTCATAAACTAGAAGAGTGGCAGCAAAAGATTGTCCAAAAGCAGCAAACACTCGAGGGCAAGGCTTAGGCCCTGGAAGAGGAACAACTCGTATTGCGAGACGTAAGTGGTTTTGTTTTCTCAAACCCTTTACGAGTTCAGAAGCGAATGGATGAATAATCCGCTTTGATTTGAGTCTCAGTCCAGATCATAGCTAGCACCTTTTCTTTTTTCCAAAAGGTTTAGACACATAGACGGAAGAAAAGTGGATTTTTCAATTCACTACAAGTCGGTTGGATAGAATGAACGGTTTTTGCAAATTCCTGCTTTCTTCGACCGAGGTACCAGCCCCTGGAGTCCCCAGAATGTGCGCTTAGACTAAAAAAGGGCAGACTGTTTAATTTCAATTTCTCATGCTATTTTGCAAACTCTTTCTCATAATCGGCAAGATTGTCTTTGTCGCGTTAACGGCAATTGGTGTCGATGATAGATGCTTTGGTGAGCGAGAAGCAGCCAGGTATAGGAGAAGGAGCGGTCGGGTTGGGGAAAAAGCACAAAAAGCTAAGTGATCGCTTCTACTCAAAGAAAATATTGCATGATTGATTCTTTCGAGAGTCTACCTTTTCGAAGCCACGAAGCGGTAAACTTAATAGCTTCTGAGCGCTCTCCTGCCTTTCTGAGTGACCAAGACATTGAATGTTGGAAGACCAGAGAAGAGATAAGAGCGTTTTGTACCCTGCTCGCCTTACCCACCAGTAACAAGTTGTGCCAGGCAAGCCGGAAAGCAAAAAGAAAAGAGGAGATACCGAGCGTCAGATACAAACCCGAAAGGGCAAGCGGGTAGAGAAGTCGTGGATCTTACGAGTTAAATCGGGTATTTCCACTCCTGGTTGATCGTCACTCTCACTATATGCTATTTCTGAAGGTATAGTTTTCGATATATCTTGTCTAGTAAGGCAGGAAGGTACCTAAGCTGTACAGCTAAGTCGGATAGGTCTGTTGTGGTCAATCTTCAAATATGGAGTAGGTATCGAACCAGAGTCAGAGTCAACTGCGGCATTTTATTCAGTCAGCTTGGCCAGGCAATGACAAAAAGAATCACGTATATTAGGCACATGGATGTCGTCAATTACATCGACCACCAGTTTTTTTTAAGTAGAAGATGTCGGCTATGGTTTCACTAAGTCAGCTGGAACAACTGGATAACTTATATTTTCTGAATAGGTATCCGTCATTTTGTAGATCGGAAAGGAGTTCTTGAGTTCCCAATCTAACAAAGAATCCAATCGCCTGTTGACAGAATAAGAGCTGTTATAGAATGCGCCTTACCTAGCGATCTCACCCCGCCTTATATTGTGCCGGAATGGTATTTCCTACTGATCCATGCCATTCTTCGTAGTAAACTTCTCCAGGTATTTGTTCACTGATCTCAATTACATCGACCCTTGGGAATTGAGCCAATAAATCCGCGACTGCTTGATCTTTGATTGCTGCTGGCGTAACGCACACTATATCATACTTGCCTTCTTTCGAGAGTAGAAATATGAGCCCCTTGACTCGGGGGCTAGGAGAACCGGACATGCTCTGACTTCCAATAAAAGGCTCCAGAAATTATGCTCAATTACATCTTCTCCTCCTCGTACTATGGTCGAGACTCACAAGCCCTCCTCTACTTTCAGTTTGAGTTCCTCTTGAGAGCTCTTATTTCATAATTTAGAGGGAGATTTTTTGAAGCTTCTATGACTTCACTGCGCTTTGCTTCATTCGTTGGATCGACATTGATTTCAAGAGTTTCTGAGTTCGCTTTCGAATGCAATGCAATACGAATAACAAAGAATAAAATCGGGAATGCCAAGAAAGGTTTGAGCTGGAACTAGGGATTCTGGCCAGAAGGGAGTCAAAATCAAAATAAATATAGTATTCATCGCTATGGGAGTGAGAATGAAAAAAAAAGAGATCTTGTTTCTCGAAATATGGACAAATGGGAGTTTAACTCCGAAAGATGCGCTGCACGAAGCCTCCCAAAAACCCCGTTGCTTTCTATTTGAAAGCGGATTCTTTTTTTTTTCTTTGATGCAGCAATCCCAAATGATGGTGCAGGGAGGACGGGTTGCAACTGGAACCCTCTTTTCCCAGGTCGCTCAGGCCACACGTCGTCATCATGTTATTGAGTAGTACACATCTCAGAAACTACTGATGCTAGAATGGAAGAACTAGGCTTCGAGCCAATAGAAGTATTTGAACTTTCCCTGGCTCTTATATCATTACTGGAATCCTTTTAGTCTCAGCTGGGGAATACTTTCTTGTCACCCTTTCCCGGAAGTCGATGACTATTCATAGCTATTACCTTGACCCCAGTTCGACCCAATGTTTTCTGTTGTTTTCATCGGACCCGAAACTTTATGTTTTCAGTATGCTAGACCCAACAAACTTTTCGAAGCGATGTGAAGACTCTAACTTGCAAACTACCTACTCCAATATAAGGCTTGGGTGAATCCACAGATTGGATCCCGACATAAGTACTCTATCCACTGCTTCTTCTTATTTCCCTTGGCAAGTATAACTCTTCTAACAAAGGAAGCTAGGTTAGGATAGAAAGGATCAGGATACTTGAGGGGATGGCTAGGGATCGGCTGAGTAAGATAGGGAAGGAAATGAAAGAGGTCCTAAAGGCAGGACTACAAACCTCAGAAATAGAAGGTCTTGATTTACGTAGATTGACCTATCTTTCGCCGTTGGCTAAAAGTACTTAGAAGCTTGGTTGCCAGTAGCCAACTTCACACAAGAGTTTATTTCCCAAAGAGCCCGTAACCCCCTTGAGAAGCCCCGAATGGAATCCCACGGTCCTGCGGCTGGCGCTTGACCAAAGTCGGATCTTGGAGAGAAGCGAATAGATGTGCAGATACTCTTGGCGAAGGGGCATACCACCTGCTTTCATAGAGCTGAGGAGTGCTCCCCATTACCCGCAGCAGGTCCTGATCCGGTTGACTCCATTCATAAGAGATAGGAACACAACTATTAGAATTAAGTACAAAGGGTCGACGATACAAACAAAGCGAAGCGAAATGAATTCAATAGCAATTGCGGGGGATCCTATCTTGCTAAGAGCTCCCAGACTAGAAGCGTTCATTTCTTGCAAGAAAGAGACAAATCCAATGACGTCAATTTCTTCTTTCCTCTCCTTTCAGTCGAGACTCACTTTGGCCCTTCTCTCAAACTCTTCTGAACCTTTATGACACTGTAAGGCCTTCTGGTTCTTCATATTTGAATAGGAGACGAAGTAGGTTCGATGCCTTTTTAACACTAATAGAACGAAGCGAAGCGAAGGACAGTGCAATGAGGGAAATCGACTAGGAACGCGATGTCTTCCCATAAAATGAAGAGTGGAGGGGACTTCGACTGTCTTCTTGTATCGGGTCCCTTCACTCTTTAGACTGCAAAGAGGTCTATTAAAGATGGGATAAATGACCATTGAACCTCTGAAAGAGAGATAAAGCTCCTAAAAGGTTCTCTAGGCCTCGTAAAGGGCCTTGTAGATCTTCCCTTGTGGGATAAGGAGTCCTAACGGTCGAATGGATGTCTTTTACTCACTTCAGTATGTCGTTCGCCGCTGTCACTTCCATACCTTCCTTCCTCTATGACGAGAAATGAAAAAGACCACTTCCTTTGCTTTGCCGCGCTCAATATGAACACTACTGCGAAAGCAAAAAAGAAAAAGGATTTGTTGACACTGATCAGAATCCAATACGAAATTGCTCGGCCCTTGATGGAACTGCCGAAGAAAGATGTGGCGTGGAAGTGGTCTACGGAATGCCAGGCCGCATTCGACATAACACATTTCGAGCCTCAGTTCAATTGAGTTCAAGCAGGAACGCGAATGTCTACGAGAGGCGATGGTGTACAACTACGTCATAGGGAATTTTTCGTGGGGGCAAATTAACATTATTTGCAGCAAAAAGGCATCTTGGCCGGGTGGATCCATCCCACTCGTAAGACCTCACCTCTGCGTTTTTTGAGTACGGGATGACTCGGAGGGGAAGATATCACAATTCAGGCTCAACCAAGTCTTCGTCTACCCTTTCTCGAACCAGGGAAGTTGGAGTAAGAAGTGACATAAAACTAGACTGATTTTATTCGGTACCACTATAGCTAGCCCTATTTTTAATATATATTATTATTTTTATTATATATTATTTTTAATAATATATTATTATTATTCTGTTATTATTTTTAATAATATAAATTAAAATATTAATAATATATAATATATGACTAATAATTAATAATATATAATTAATATATAT